TGGGGAAACGACGTGGCGGGGCGAGCGCACACGGAGCAACAAGAACAGCGGCAAAGAGAGCGCCCACGCGCGACGGCACGTTAGTTGTGCGCAGTCCGCCCCATGGTGTGTTTTTTGCGCGTGGTGCTTGTGTGATCCCCCGGCTTTGCCTGCGTGCGCCGCCCGTGTCTCCCTGCGGCGCTGGCGGTGGCTGCCGCACGGCGTGCCGGTGCGTGTGTGGGTGCTTGGGTGCGGCCCACTGCGCTCTGCCGTGCTGTTTCTTTTTTCCTGTGCGCATGCATGCTTCTTTTCTTTTCTTTTGCTCCCTACGCCGCGTTGCCCACGCGCGGCTGCCGGGGGTATGGGGGCGGGGCGGCGCAAAGGGGTGTGGCGCCCGCTGTTGCATGTGTCCGTGCCTCTGGCGCCACGCATGCGCGGTTCCTGCCGTGGCCGTGCGGCGCCGTTGTTTTTTATTAGTTGTGGCGCGGCGAGCTGCGAATAGCAGATGCCGGGGCGTAATGGTTACGAGATGCGCGTGCGGGGACGTTTGCCACTTTATTGCTCTGGCGCCCGTTGTGGAAGCGGCGGCGGGAGGTGGGCGTGTGCGGCGGCGGCTGTTTGCGCGTCTTTATCGATTTTTCGTTTGGGGGTGGGGTGGCGTCGGAAATGTGGGCGAATTTCGGGGGTTGGAGTCGCGCCGCGTTGTTTCTCCAGTGAGGAAAATATTTCGGAGGTGCTTTAGTGCTGTTTGACCTGCGCGAGGGCATTCATTCGTGTGTTTTTTCTTGTCGTTGTGCTGGGTTCTTGGTTGTTGGGTTGGGGTCACTTTCCCTATATGTTTTTTGTTTGTTGTTCTATGTGATTGTCGTGTTGTTATTATTGTCACCATTATATATATGTAAAGATTATTTTTGGCTGTTAACATGTATTTATGAGTGACTCTTTCTCGGGAGGATTTTTTAGTTATTGGATTACACGAACTCATTTTGTCTATTTTTATTTTTCATTTTCTGCTTTTGTGTTTTTTCCCTCTGCTTTTTATTTTTCTTAGATTATGGGTTTGAAGGACACAACCTCGGGCTTTTATGGCGATGTGCCTTATTGCAGTCCTGTAGAAAGTAGCGTCTTCTTTGACACAATTACGGCCTCAAGGATGCATCGTCTTCCGGAGAGTATGATCACAAGGGCTGATTCGACATCATTTTTTATGGATGCCAATGCTAGTTTGTATGAGCGGGTTCTTGGAGTGAAAAAAGAAGTCGATAATAAAAAGTCTTGCCCAAAGGGAGGAAGTGCTTTTGAATTTCTAGATATTATTCCTCACCTGTTTCGTTCACCCTCAGCTTCACGACTAGTGCGGGCGAGTGAAGAAGGGGATTGCTTTGTGGTCGTTGAATCAAAAAACATTAGTGACATCTGCGGCGTTTTTGAAGCTGGGAAACAGGACTCTTCGAGTGTTTACTTTGTTGTCTCATTGGATCTTAAAGGGATAGATGATATGTGGCAGTCTCTTCTTAATTTTCTTTTGGGGGGTGTATCACCTGGGAGGAATATGGTATATGTCCTAAGGAATGTTGAGGTTTATCTTGAGAAAGGGAACTCATACGGCGCGTTTTTGTTTTCCTTATGGGCACTCGCTGTGTCATCCATACTTCACAACTTTGCTTCGATTACTATTGATTCCGTACGTCAGAGGCTCAGTAGGGTGAGTATTCGAATTTGTGTGTTAGAGGGACACGAAGGCGAGAATATATTGGATGATATTCAGCTCTTTTTTGAGAATAAGCTAAGGATTTGCGTTTATCGCGTATTAAGCACCGATACTTTGCCAAATGACGCATGCACCATTGACTCGGAGTGTGATACAATGACAGAAACACATGGAGAATGGATTGATAAAGCCACAGAACTGGTTGTGGGTATTCATGAGGAATTATGTGATACTGCTGAGGAAGAACCAAGCAAAGATGATATTAATTTGCGCTGTATTCTAGTTAGCTTACCAGAGAAGGAATTGCTACGAAAAGATTTACAAAGGCATTTATGTGACAGTTATACCTCCACCCCAGTTACAGTTGTAACAACTGAAAAACAAATCTGCGAAATGTTAGCTTCCCATGATCGAACTATCCCAATTGTGTTTTTTGTTCCCAAAAGAATCTTCAGGAGCAGCTGCTTAAACCGGAGCACGAGCGTTACTTAAACCGTTTATATGTGGAGGCCCTCGTTTATGGTGAAAAAGATGGATGCTCGAGACATTGCGCTTCTTCACATGCTTCTTCCTGGAAGTCCATCACCTAAGCTATTACCGCATCCAATGTTTGTTTCTACTAACGCGGATGAGCGAAGTTGCAACACGAGCAAGCTGGACAATGGATGTCTTCAAGAGGCAATGAATATTATCTTATGGATATTTAGAAGATTTAAATTGGGGAATTGCCACAAAGGGATACAACCTGTTTTAAGGATATCTGAGATGCTTTTTATATCTCGGGGCGCGGCAGCAGTGTTTGAGAAAGTTATGTACTCAATGAGGATGGCTGGAATTGTTTCTTTTTTGAATTTGTCAGATGAATCACATGCGTTTCGTTTGGAAGTTATGGGGCGGGCACTTTCGTACCGATTTCGGTTGCCTTACGAGCCAAAGTTTCCTGAATTCACGCCGTTTGACGTGAAGTGCATTCTTTGGTGCTACGCATTTAGACAGTCCAAAGAGACTGCTCAAAAATTGATATCTGATGCCCACTTTTCCCCAATATGGGTGGGGGATGCAATCGATAATTTCTGCCTCCAATACCGAATAAGCTTAGAAAATGAACTGGGCAATGAAAGAGAAGCTCTTGTTAAGGAGTTATCCTTAATTCCTAAATGTGATGGAGTAATTTCACGGGTAAAGACTTTTTTAACGCATTCATCAGGGGAGAGAGTGCCGATATCAAGGCATTTTGCTACTGCCTCTTCAACTTGTTGTCGGGGTTGGTTTGAACAAGCGCCAGTCGGCACAAGTGCTGAATTCATACCAAAACCACATGTAAACGTTTATTGTTATCCATCACAAAACGAGTTATGTGAGATTCGCTTTGGAGATTGTACACTACAGTGTCCTCTCGATCTTTCGTATCCCTTGATAATTGCACATATTGTTCTGTACACAACTCTATGGAATAATGCTATTATTCTGGAGAGCGTTCACGATACTGGTTCGGCGGCGCCTTTACCAATACCTTTGGCAGTCCTTCACTCGCCCACACTAAACTCTATATTGGAAGACGTTGTTGATGGAAAGGTGGGATTCTGGCTTGATAACTGCATGGATTCCGCTCCCCCACTATCAGATCCATTGGAGCTTGCATCTTTAATGGCGAAAACGCCGTCTTTACTAGGGTTTTGTGATCACAAGGCTTTGCGCCGGAAACGAAGTCAAGTGGGGTTGGACCTGAAACGTCAAAAGTGTGAAGTGAAAGAGGCTTCTGTGCCATTGTCTGAGGCTGAGGCTGCAACAATTAGGGAATTTGCCAATGCGGCTATCAAGCTCGGTCGTGAAAAGGCGGAGAAACGCTTTAAAGGAATGAAGGGATTTGCATTTTTGAATCCGTCTCATGAAAATCATGCGTACTACCTTCATATCTTGGAAAAATCAAATTCGTAATTAAAAGCCTTTTTGTTTTTTTGTACCATAGAATCCTTGTTAAAAAACAATAAAGTATATATATATATATATGAGACCCCGCCGATGAGCACTAATTTAGTTTCATGCGATATTGGACCTTTTTAAATTGATTTAGTTAAGGCTTATTCTTCGTTCCTTCTTTCTCTTTTTTTATATTGATTTCATTTTGTTCTTCTTACCTTTGTTTCTTTGTGTTTGCTTACTTACAGATAGACGGTGTCTCAATAAATATAAATGCATTCATCGCCTAGGGAGGAAAAGTATGTTGTAAGAATGGAACGATTAAGAGGTATGTTGTCATATGGTGCTGTCCTGGCAGTGATGTGCATATCGTATCTTAGTTTTTCCGGCACTTTCTTCGATATTCTCTCGGAGAACTTGGATGGGGTTTGGTCTTCTACAGAACTTTTAGAAGGTGAGGGTATTAATCTGACTTGCTCTCACGACTCTACAAGAGACTGCACTGCCTACTTGAAGATTAAAAATCTTGTTGTGGAAAATGTTTCAATGCAATTTGTTTATTCCCCAGCAGCAAGATGGGTTGGAGTGAAATTTCTGAGTGAGGATGCCTGGATTTTATTGAGACAGACTAGTGGCCGCTTGCTTGTCAGGGTGTTTGTTGATTCTAGCATGAGGACCTTTTTGCTTGAGCGCCGTCAGAACCGCGGAAGATTACGCAAGATATTGGGAAAAAAGGGAGGATATGTGTGCTTAATATTTCTTGTTATCGGACTATTCAAATGGGTTCAAATACGGTTTTTTTCGCTTCACTCGGGAAGACAAAATCTGCGCCATCGTAGAAATTTATCTCTAAGGTCTGAGACACGGAAGAAAAACGAATAAAGCGCCTCAATATACGTAAAACCCTGCATTGCTTACCTTGAATGCCAAATTATGTGCCTCCTATTTATCTTGTCGTTGTGTTATCTATCGAGTAACTTTCACTTCTTCTCTGGACTCAACCGCTCCTAGTAGCAATATTTTTTTTTGGGAATTATTTGTATTTTACCTTTAGGCCTTGCCTGTATTACAGTGATGCGTTTTTTCCTCTCTTCGCGTCTCAACAAAACAATACTCATCACATCATCGTTTTTGCATTTTTTGCTCTTGCATCTTTTTTTATCATGAAGTGATACACATATATAAAGAATAATAGTTAGCTTAACTTATTCCTTACCCTTTTGTTTGGTGCTCTACATATTCTGTTCTTTTTATGCAGAGCGCAAGAAAGCGTGAGATTTGTTACCAGTCACGGGACTCATATCATAAATGCCTTGATACTTTACCGGAGGACGCGGAAAAAGAATGTGCAGCTCAAAAAAAGGCACTGGATAATGCGTGCCCAGCTAGTTGGGTCAATTACTTTGAAAAACAACGGGAAAGGGAGCTGATTCTTCAGCTTCAATTAGAGCGTAGCGGCGGCCGTGGAGCAAAGTAGCGGGCGCCTATTTCATCGTCCTGGCGAGGGCAGGGACAACACCGGATCAGCTTGGTTGACTGCAAGAACAAGTGTATATATATATATATATATATTTGGAGAAGAAACAGATGCTATCGTATTTTTTTTCCTTGTTAAATTTTTCCTTGTTTCTTATCCCTCGTTCTTTTTTGTTTCTGGACATGTTAGGACACATCATTAGTAAGCGAAGATGAGCCTAGGGAAGACAATGTATGTGGATGGCGATCTTGGGGAAAACATTTCAAACATGTCACAGATCAGAACGATGAGCGCTCTCATAGCAGGTGTTGGGGCAGGAGTGATGGGCCTGACAGGTATCACCGGGGCGGTGTTCTTCTTCTTGTGTGCGCTACTAACCTCCTTCGTAATGCTGAAAGTTGGCTGTGAAGGCACCCCTGAGCGGTACTTCCCGTCCGGAAAGAAACAGTTTTTCTCGCTTGGTAACCTTGTCACTGGTGCCATGACATACATCTTGGCATGGACCGTCGCGTATGACACGATTTATATTTTCTAGGAGATGAAGCTGAGGAGTAAAACAAATGCCTCCTGAAGGAGCTAACTGATAACATTGTTTATTCCATAAAGGGACAGCTTCAACATATATATATATATTTTTCTGCCTCCTCTGTCTTCCGCGGTGTCCATTGATTAACTGACTTTACTTTTTGATTTACTTTATTTTTCTATTACATCAATAGCAAAGACAATAAAACCTTTACGCAAGAAGAAGGAAAAAAAATTATGGAGGATGTGACACTGCGGCAGGATTGGCAGCAAGAGGATGCATGGAATTCAAGAAGAGACTTTGGTTTCAATCGGAATTGCTTTTTTGGCGATGATGATGACAATAATGAGGATAACAAGTGGCAAATAAATACTCGGAAGAATTCTGCTTGCGATGCTGCCGCTGCTGCTGCTGCTGCTAAGGAGCACCCTTCCACTCGATTGCAACGAGGGTTGATGAGTGTGGCGGCGTGCCTTAATACGCTCTCGAGAATCACGGTGCAGCAGAAGCTTCTTTTGGGGCTCTCAACCGAGGGCGCAGCACCGGAAATATCGTTAGGAGGCGAAGAAACTTCTTTGAGGCATGAAGTGGCGAGGAAAACCCCGAAGTGCAGTCACGCGGCAGCGGTTTTTCCAAAACAGGGAGCCTCAACTTGTGAAGCCACGACATGTACAACACTGCATAATCCCGGGTTGGGAGGCGGGGACATGTCGGATGCCGCAACTTCTCCGAGTGGGGCCGCAAAATCAGGTGAATTGCGAAGGGATGCTGCGGTTGCGGAATCTTTTGAGGTTTCACAGGAGGCTATTGTTTCCGAAAGAGACTACCTTTCCCGACTATTGGCTGAAGCGAAGAAGGAGATGGACGAGTTAAAGTGTACATATGAGCAAGAAATTCGTTGGCTGCAAGGCGAACTTAGCGGTTATCAAAGTATGACGGCTCAGCTTCGTGAGGTGGAGAATGCCCTTCATCTGGAATCCCTTTCTGCGGCGGAGAAGATTGCCCGGTATGAGGAGGAGATAATGACGTTGCGCAATCTGCTTGCGGTTGCCACAGAAAGAGAACTCTCACTACCAGCCAAAAACGAATCCATGGAAGGGATTGATGGGGCGCAGGTGCAATGCCTAGAGGATGCGTTGGCGGTTGCGGCAAAGATGAACACAGCGTTGCTGGAAAATGCAGAGAGGCGCGATTTGGCATATTGTAGTGCCGTAAAGGAGATAGACAATCTCAGGGGCAAATTAATAGAGGCGGGAGATGAGGCAAGACATGAAAAGGAAATGTGTGAGAGGAAGATAAATACAATGGAACGTGAAATCCTCTTCTTGAGGCCTTTTAAGGAACGTGTTGGTATAGCTGAGGAAAAATTGCGGAGATGTGCCCAGCAGGAAAAATTAGTGGTGAAGTATGAAGGAGAGATACGACACCTGCGGTCGGCCCTGAGAGAGGCGGAGAGCCTCACACTGAGGCTCCAACAGGACTATGCGTCACTTTCTGCTGGTTTGACTCAAGCTGGGACAAACAATGGGAATGGTTTTACGCAGTCGAACGCCGCCGTACAACCTGACGTCGACGCGGGTTACTCAGATAAGGTTGAGGATGCCGAAAGTTCCTCACACGTGATGCGTTTGACGCATGAAATTGGGCGTCTGACACAAGAGTGCAGCGCGCATCGTGATGCGTTGGAGGCCTTGAAGCGGGACCACAGTATCGAAACCGATTTCTTGACAGCAAGGCTCTTGAAGGTGGAATCAGGCCACGCGACGTATCCTCCACAGGAGGAGCCACCGACGCTGCAGCGAGAGCCGCGAGCAACACGTGACACCAGCACACAGGCGCTGGCGGGCGATGGTGATACGCTGGACAGGTTGGGTGGCACCTCTGGGTTGCGGCCGACGCTCCTTGGAGAGCTTTCCTTCCGTGTGAGGGATAGCCACACGCATGCAGAGACTTGGGCCTCGCCTAATGCTGGCGTCGGGCAGCCGTGGGGAAACGGTGTCGCCTAGAGTCACAGCCCGATCGCCCACGACGCTTTCCCTCTGACTGCAGCGGGGGACAATTCCTAGCTCATTTTTCTATACCGGTGATCTCGCAATGTGGCCCGGAAAACTGGCCTGTGATTGCCTTGGAGCAACAACAGTAGCGAACCAACAAACAAACAAACAACAGGGGGAGGACGGGATGAAAATGGTGGGACACAAGCTCTCGATTGACGCTCTAAAGTTTTCATGATCGATTCATCATGATGCAGTGGTGGGCAGTATGCTGGGGTGCTGTGTACAGTAAATGTGGTTGCAATTTATTTCTGGGTTTTCTGCTAGCAGCACTTACTCTGGTGTAAGCGTCGCGACGACGACGAATAAAAATAATAATAATGGTATTTATTGATAGTGCTCATGACACTTTCCTCATTCATGCTTTTTCATCTCTCTCCTTCTCGCTCTTTCTCTCCTTTTTGTTTTTGTTTGTTGCTTCCTCAATTTACTTCGTAGATCGGTGGTCTAGAATGGCCGATTCTAGCTTCTTCGGGCTGCATGTTGACGTTCCTGCGGAAGTGTTAGCCGCCATAATCACCGGGCTGACTATTCTTGGCGGTCTTGCTTCAGGGGTTTTGCTTTGCTTGTTTTCACTTGACACGAAGCGCTTAAATGCGCTTATTCGACTTGGCCATACCAAAGATGCCCGCCGGGCCCGTCGGGTGATGATGCTTTTACACAAATCAAAGTGGCTGTTAGTGACGCTTTTATTTATTGAAGCCGTAGTGGTGGAAATGATGCCGCTGGTGTTTGACATGTTTTTAAACCCGGTGGCGGCGATATTTGTCTCAGTTGGAATCATCTTGGTGTTTGCGGAGATCATACCCCAGGCGGTGTTTATTCGTCATGCATTGCAAGTCAGCGCGGCGCTGACGTACGTGGTATTGTTCTTCATGTGTCTCACGTCCCCCATCACCTGGCCTGTGGGGAAGTTGCTTGAGTTTGTTCTCGGGGAGAAGGAGTCCGTCTTTTTGGGGCGCACGGAGTTGCTGGAACTCATCCGCCTGCAGGAGGAAATTCGAAGCGAAAAACGCGTGAGAAGGGCGTCCTCCGTGGCGTTGGAGGACGCCTCTGCCGCTGAGGTCGAGGACACAGACTTTTCGCCGGTGGAGTCAAGTATTATGCTGGGCGCGTTGCGAATGTCGGAGAATACGGCTCGCGACGCCTTGAAACATGGAATCGCCTCGATGTATAGTCTGCACTGCGACGTCCGCCTAACAAAGAAAATGACCGAGGACATTTTCGCCAGGGGGCTTCCGTTTATTCTTGTCTACAATGATCCAAACGACCCAACAAATGTGACACGGGTGCTTGAGACGAAGGCGCTCATATTGCTAATTTACTGTCAAGGGGCCGAGTCGGTGTCGCTTGGGGAACTTCCCCTACACGCCCTGCCGCGGTTCCCGGCGTCAACACTTTGCAGCGAGTTGTTTGAGGCCTTGCAACACATGCTGATTCAGGTCGTCGCTATCGCCGACGACAAGGGCCGAGTGCTTGGGGTGTTGACGATGCAGGACGTGGTGGAGTTTGTCCACAAGACCTCGTTTCAGGCGGAAATGGACCCCAGGGCGCAGATGCCCTTTCAACTCATGATGCGTTCCTGGAAAAGGCTGTGTGAGGTGCGTGGGGACTGCGTCGCGGGCGGCAGGTACGGTCTAACTCTGCCTGGGAGACGAGGCGCGCGAACCCCGTCAAACTACTCTTCACGCTGCAGTACGCCTCTCCTCCCAACCCCTGCTTCTCGGCAGGATGGGCTGCCGTCAAGCGTCTTTTCGGCCCAGGCAGCAGATGGCAACCCACACGCCGACGGCAATCAGGCGAAGTCATGATGCCGCACATGCCTATTTATATATTTATACGCGTGCATCCACGCCCAGACAGTCAGTGGGGCGAGGAGAAGTGCAACGAAAAGCAAGCAAAGACAAACAAGGAAGAGAAGTTGCTCCTCATGAAGGAAAAAAGAAGAAGAAAAAAAGGAAAAAAGTGTGGAGTAAAAGTGAGGATGAGAACGGAGTTGCTTTGAGGACTGTTTGGGGCGGGGCCAGTGCTAGTTTCCCGGCCTGCTGGAGGGCGTATGCCGTTGTTGACCTCACCGCAACCAATTCGCCTCCCCCCACACACACAACCTTGCTGAGCTATTCTTCCTTGCTTTGCTTGTTTTTCTCTTTCCGGCGCCACCTCACCAATTCCTTTTCAACTAAGGATCTGACAACAAACGCTGCCGGTGCATCAATTAAAGCGACAAGCAAACGAAATAGAAAACAAAACCAAAAAAAAACAAACAAGAACAACAACAAAGCAAATAGCAAAAGAAATATATATATATATATATATAAAAGGAAATATTCTGCCGACTACAGCACATGGCCACACGCGCTGTACAGCTGGGTGGCAGGGGCGCTGCCTTGAAGCCGGGCGGCTTGCTGCTGAACAAGAAGGACCTCCGTAGCGTGCATGAGGTGACTTTGGCGAACTACTCCGTCGAGTACTTGTACCTCCGCGAAAACGAGTTGGCAGAGTTCGACACGGAAGTCACAATGGAGAACCTCAAGGTGTTGGATCTGTCCATTAACGAGATTTGTGGGACAGTGGATTTCCTGGAAAGGACTCCGTTTCTGCGCCACCTCTACATGACAGGGAATAGGGTGGAGTCGCTCCATGGCATTGCCAACTTCACTCCGCTTGAATCACTGTGCCTCAGCGAAAACGCCATCAACAGCTTTGAAGGGCTAGAGCGGCTCCCAAACTTGCGGGTGCTTTCTCTTAATTTTAATAACATCTCCTCCTTCGAGCATTACCCCAATCTTCCCTCGCTGCACACCCTCAATCTCGTGGGGAACCCGGTGACAGAAATTCCCTCTTACCGCAGTATGGCTATTGCCATCAACAATCCCAATCTTGTCACCATCGACGGTAATTCCGTTTCAGGGGAGGAGCGGGCTGCACTGGAGCACTACCAAGGAAAGGTAGCTTACTGCATCTGCGAAGGCTTTGTTGTTGAGGGCGACAATGTGGAGGAGGCTGCTGATGCTTTTCTTCTTAAGCTTCAGCGTGCGCGAGAAAAGTCAAGGCACTTGCAGCTATGCTCTATTCGTCTCACACCGGAGGATGAAACCCGCAACGTCCTCACAGAGGGCATTCCGGTACGGCTCGCCTGCTGCTTGCAAGACATTCGTCCATACGAGCAGAGGGAGACGGATATGTTCTTCTCGCGTGAGTTGATTCCCGCCACCTTCCGGATCTCTGGTGAGGCCACAGAGGTTTTTGTGGTTGGTTCCATGAACAACTGGACAGACCCCATTGAGCTAGAGCGTGGTGGAGACGAGGGTGAAACTTACTTCCACACCACTCTCTACCTACCCGTTGGGGAGTACGAATACCGCTACATTGTGGACGGCGTTGAGGTTGACCCCGAGGCGAATGGGGTGATTTCCAAGTACAAACAAGGCTACTGCTACCTCTACAAAGTCCCCGAAGTGGAACCCGTGGAGGATGAAAAGGACACTGTTCTGCACATTCGCTGGATGAAGAGCACGCCGGGTAGCCGCTACGAGACCATTGAAGACAACAACACACTGACGTACACGCCAACCGCCGCTGACGTGGGTTGCTGCCTGCGCGCCGAGGTGCTTGCGTACGTTAACGGCGTTTTCTCCTTCTTGTACTTCGACATTTCCACCCCTATTGTTGCTGGTCCGCCGACGTGCCCCCACCTTGAGATCAAGGGCAAGGCTGTGGAGGGCCACGTGTTGGTGGCGGAGGCCGACTACGTTGGCGGCGTTGAGGGCAATTCCCACCTCAGCTGGTTCCGCATTACGCCGGACGGCCAGGAAATTACCCTTGAGATGAACGATCCCTGGGCCGGTTACAAGCTGACGAGCGAGGACGTCGACTGCCGTGTCAAGGTGGAGTTTACGCCCGTGCGGGCTGACTGGGTGGCGGGCGAACCCAAATCTGTTGTCACTGCACCCGTCATGGCAGGCGCTCCTGAGTGCGAATCCATCAAGATAATCGGCAACCTTATCGAGGGAAGCGAGCTGGGGGTGGAGGTTGTCTACTCTGGCGGCGTGGAGGGGGAGAGCTACTACCAGTGGCTCCGCAAGGACGACGCCTCGGAGGAGTACTCCCCGATTGAGGGGGAGAACACCACGCGGTATGTTCCGACGCTCGAAGACGTGGGTAGGTGCCTGGCGGTGGAGTACACCCCCGTCAACAAGCAGGGCGAGGAGGGTGAGACGTGTCGCTGCGTGCTGGAGACACCCATTGAGCCGTCCGCGCCGGAAATTCAAAACCTCAAAATTATGGGCGAGCTAACCGAGCAGCACGTGCTCACGGTCGAATTTGACTACACAGGCGGGCACTTTGGACCCCACATGATTCAGTGGTTCCGCCGCGATCGCGCCAAGCGTCTAACAAAGGTTGGACGCCCCAACGCCGCAACCCTCGCACTCACTAAGCGTGAAGTCGACTGCACGATTGAGGTCTCGGTGACACCTGTGCGCCTTGATGGTGTACAGGGGCGAACCGTGACTGCAAAGTCGGACGGCGTCGTTTCTGCTGGCATTCCGCAAACCAACTTCCTGAACGTGGTAGGTGAGCCCTTGGTTGGGAACACCTTGGAGCTGGAGGTGGAATACTTTGGCGGAGAGCCTGGCGAACCGATCATTGAGTGGGAGCGTGAGGTGCCAGGCACAGAGAACTTTGAACTGGTCGAGACGGGTGTGCGCAACTACACGGTTCAGAAGGAGGATCAGGGAAGATTGCTCCGTGTGACGTACACGCCGGTGCGCATGGACGGCACCCCTGGAGAGGCGAAGAGCCGCATCGTGCAGGTGCCACGTGACGGGGCAGGTGACAAGGACGAGGAAAATGAACTGGAAGTTGACGTGCATGAGGCCTCGGAGGAGCCTGCATTGACGCGGCACGTGGACCCGAATGCCCCGACGGCGCCGCATGAGCTGGAGTCGGAAGAGGAAGCGAAGATCGCCGCAGCAGGGAAGGAGGAGGCAATGGAGCACGTGAAGGAGCACAAGGAGGTTCCCGAGGAGCACAAGGAGGTTCCCGAGGAGCACAAGGAAGTACCCGAGGAGCACAAGGAAGTACCCGAGGAGCATAAGGAAGTACCCGAGGAGCATAAGGAGGTACCCGAGGAGCACAAGGAAGTACCCGAGGAGCATAAGGAAGTACCCGAGGAGCATAAGGAGGTTCCCGAGGAGCACAAGGAAGTACCCGAGGAGCACAAGGAAGTACCCGAGGAGCACAAGGAGGTTCCCGAGGAGCACAAGGAAGTACCCGAGTAAAAGGTCAAGGACGCGGTGGCTGCCGCCTGAAACTCGGATGAGGGCTCTCAACACAATTCTCCCGGGGCCAATTGAGAGACACAGACTTCTGATAAAGAAGAAAGTGTGACCCACCAGCAGGGTGGGGGTGGGTGGGGACGATGGCGTGTAGGCAAGTAGACATTTCAGTCAAACGCCACTCATACTTTTTTTTGTATTTGTTTTTATTGCTTTTTGGTTCTTTCATTTTCTTTCCCTTTTGGATGTGGCTCCTTCCATAATGTATATTGGGTGATGAGCGTGCAACTAACGGGAG